TAGCAGTAGTAGTAGTATTTGCAGCAGAATTAGAAACACTAGAAGTAATAGTAGTCGTAGCAGTAGTAGTAGAAGTAGTGGTTTCAGAAGAAGTAAAAGCAGTGGAAGAAGTTGTATTTGTATGAGTATTAATGGTAGTAATGGAAAATGCAGCTGCCGATGATGAAGTAATCGTAGTAATATAAGCATTATAAATAGTAACAGCATTAGTAATAGTAGCAGTATAATTAACCGTAGTAGTTATAGCAGCAGAAGCGGAAATATTAGTAGTACATTGGCAGTAATAGCAGTGGTAGAATTAGCAGTTTAATTAGCTGTTGTAGTATTAGAAGTAGAGGTAGTAGTATTGGCAGCAGAAGTGATAACGGTAGTGAAGTAGTAGTAGTAGTAGTAGTAGTAGTAGTAGCAGTAGCGGCAGAAGGAGAAGGAATATTGGGGGTAGAATTAGTAATAGTAGTAGCAATATTTATAGTGGTAGTAGTGGTATTGGTAGTATTGGTAGTAGAAGTAATAGCATCAGCAGCAGCATCGTTATAGGTAGTAGTAGTAGTAGATCTAGTAGTAGCAGCTATGACAACGTTATTCGAATTAATAGATATAATAGTAGTGTTTGTAATAGCAGCAGCTGCAGTGGTAGTAGTAGTATTAGTAACAGCAGAAAAAATTTTGGTAAGCGTAGAATTGGTAGTGGTAGTATTATGAGTAGAAGTAGTAGCAGGTTAGTATTCTTATTAGTGGTAGTAGCATTTGAAGCAAGAGCAATGATAGAAAAAGTTGTGGTAGCAGTAGTAGCAGCTGCAGTTGTGGTAATATTACTAGTAATATACTGCCCCTGCTGGTCAGGTTTTCCGTTTTTCATTGAAGCGCTGGTCCAAAGTCCCTGCAGACACTAGCCAAACGAGTGACCCAGAATGACGGTTGAGCTTCTTGATCGGAGGGTGTGTGCAATTAAGTGCTGGGTCTACGAAGACGTTTAAGGTGTTTAGAGTGTCGAAAAAAGAAGTCCGAATAACAACACGCCAGTCTACCACAGAATTTTCCAGTACAACTACAAGGCAGGCTGATGATCCCGTTGCTTTGAAGGGAATATAACTGAAATCAACCAACGGCGTTAATTTTGCGGGCGACAAAATTCTGAGGAAACAGTCCTTGCGTGTATGCGTTTGCCCCTAAAGCAGACCACGCGGTAGATGTGCTGGAGTAACAGGGGGAGTGGGTCCAGATCGGAGTCAGACCGGCGTTATCGAGATGCGCACCCACTATAAACGCCAACATTGGGGCGTGGCGGCACGCCCTTGTGCAGACTCACGCCGCGTCAACCGAGATCCGAGCCATCCCTTCAAATTCTTTGTAGCCAAAACTCCTGGTCAGTGTAGGTTGTGGGCCAGGGGTGTGATGGTACGCCTAGGTGCGGACTTTTGCCGTGACAGCCACCTGCGACCCCTCCTGCCTCCGGTCTTCTTGACTCTGTCTTGACGTCGGGACCATGGGGGCAAGGAGAAAAGAATGCGGAATTCGCATCCGCGGAATTTAAGCGTATGTCTCTCACTATAAGCAATTTGACGCACCTTTAAAATATTACGAGGTTCTAGAAGCTGTGGCTTGGAAGACTGCCAACTGACGGGATAGCTCCGTCCTCGTTTTAGGACCGAGAGTCAGGCTGCAATGGCTCCTTATTAATGCGGCCTCTATGACACTCTCACTCGCTCTGACTCCGAGCCGTTCGTTTCTTGTTTTTGTGGAAACCCCGTTCATTATGCTTGTACAGAGGTCACCTTGGTGTAAGGTGTGATTTCGCGATGGTCGACTGTCATGGGTATGGGCGTGGTATACTGAAGAACGATTGAAAGGCTTGACAAGCAAACGTGTCCGATGTCTTCCTCAGCCGTCTGGGCCCCGCCACTGTTACATCATGGTAAATATATAGGGAGACGAGAAGGTCGACAGTGGACACCTTTACTTATGAGCATCTAAACTCTCCCTGTACCCTTGTGGTTGTGAAGTTGAAATTTTACAACTGGCAAAAAAACATCGTCTTTGCCACGAGAGCCAGATCGTGAAGGCTTATTCTAGGTGTGAATTTGATCCCGACTGTTAATCATCAGCGCCTACGCTCCTATGA